AGCCAATCACAAGGTTTTGACGGCAAAACAATCAGATAAAGATGCTGACTGTATATATCCATGTGTGAAAACATGAAGCTCAAGGGAAATTGTAAGTCCATTCTTTCTACACTATTTACAGTTGACATGGTGTTATGAATTAATCAGAGTATATCAGGTAGTGTAATAAAGGAGTCGTGATTCCAGAGTATCGATACAAATGAGGGCCTAGGCATTTATAGGCACGAACAGAGCTAGCCGAGAACCACGTGAACAGGTTGGGGCGATTCGGTTGGCGAAAGCCACGGAAGCGCTGCGCGTTGAGGTTTGGGTTCGCAAAGTGGTTTGGGACCGAAGAAGTTGGCCGAGCCTGGACTTCCGAGAGTCGAGGGCGTACATCCTGTAGTCGAGCCTAGTAATAAAAAGGGAATTTCCTTACACCACCCCCCCCCCCCCTTCCGGGATAAGACTACCCACCTCCGGGACACGTCGTCGGTGTAATTAGTCCTGGAAGACTTTGTGTTCGCCGAGCATAGTTGCGGGGACCCAAAGGACGTCGTCAACCCAGCGTACAAGGAAATCAACGGCTGTCGTATCTCGACGGCCGCGTACGCGATGAGCGAGAATCTTCGATGGCTCGGTCATCGGCTCAGGAACTGGGTGTCAACTTATACATATATTCTTATGGAGAAGTTATAGGCTAGATAAGGTATGTTCTTAGTGGGTACAACCTAAACGCTATATCTCCCCTGTTCTCCCTTCTTCTAATCATTCATTCTAGTTTTAACATGGTATCACGAATAGGTAGGTCCACCCACCAGCTTCCGCCCCGTGCCGCCACCTACCAGACCCTTGCGCCCCTACGGCCCCGACGCGACCCTAGCAGGTCTAGTCCTCGGCCTCCCTTCGTCGCTCCCTGCTCTCCCTCCCTCGCCTCCGCCGACGTGCACGCCCTGCATCGAGGGTCGGCTGCGCCGTGCTCCTCACTCCTCCTCACTTCGCCCTGCCACTGCACCCCTTCAGACCCTGCACTTGGATGTCTGGGACCCAGCCCCTGTCCCTAGACTGCGTCGCGAGCGCTACTTTCTAGTGCTCGTTGACGACTTCACGCGCTACACCACGGTGTTTCCCCTGGAGCGGAAGGCCAACGTCTCTGACATTCTTATCCCGTGGCTCGTCGCTGCGCGCCTCTACCGCGGTCTCCCTGTGCTGTGTCTCCACTCCGACCGTGGCAGCGAGCTCGCCTCTGGTCAGCTGGGTCAGTTCTGTCGTGCCGAGGGTATCACCCAGACATACACCCTAACGGACTCCCCGCAGCAGAATGGGGTCGCTGAGCAATGCATCGGTTTGGTCATGGAGGTGGCTCGTACCTCCATGATCCATGCCGGTGCACCCCATTTTCTGTGGCCGTTCGCCATTCGCTACGCCGCTCACCAGCTTAACCTCTAGCCTCACTCCCAGTGGCCGCAGGTTTCGCCGACCCTTCTTTGGACCGGGTTCCCTGGTGACGCGTCTGCGTTCCATGTCTGGGGCTGCCTTGCTCACGTTCGTGCCTCCGGCACGGACAAGCTCACTGCCCGCACCATCCCCTGTGTCTTCCTCGGTCCCCCCCTAGACTCCTGCTGACTGACACTTCTAACACCCGTCGTCTCACCTCTTTCTTCACTCCCGTGACGTCACTTTCGACGAGCCTGTCTCCTTTTTCCACCGCTTTCCTCACCGAGGTCTCCCGGTTTCCCCTCCCCTGTTTCTCGCTCCCACTCCCCCGGTCGCCCCTGCTCCCCTCCCTCCCCGTCCTTCTCCGTCCGGTGTGTCTCACGTTACTCCTCCCCCGTCGGTTGTCACGGTCGAGAAGTCGGCTGACTCCGGTGGCCCCGTGGCGCATTTTGTGCCGCCTGTCCCTCCCCCGGTGTCTCCTCCTCCCTTGTCGCAGTCGCCGCCGCAGCCGCCGCCGTCACCGCTGCCGCAGCCGCAGCCGTTCGTGGACTCAGGGGTGATGGTGTTGGAGAGGGTGCTAGTCCTGGGGCTCCTGTCGTGACTTGTCCCGGCAGGCTCGGGGGTGGCACCGGCGCTGGAGAGGTTTCTCGTTCTGGGGGTGCTGGCGTGGAGTGTACCGGAGGTAGCAGTGGTGCATCTAGTGGTCCAGGTGTCGGCGTTCAGCAGCAGCAGCAGTCGCCGCCGGTGTCCGCCCTTCGCCTACTCGGCCTTCCCTCCCCTGACCGCTCACTTGTGCCTCCCTCGCCGTCTCCCCCTCTTCCTGTTCACGGTCCTCTGTTTCCTCTGCTAGACTCGTCCCTGGCTCGTTTCCCCTCTTGTTCCCCTCTTGTTACTCCTTCTGACCCGATGCCTCCGTCTCACGTCTGGTCTCGCCGTCCCTCTCGTGCTCGTCTTCTCTCTCATGTTCAGCGTTCTCACCCTATGTTGCTTCGTTCCCATGCGTCCCGTCCTCCCTTCCTGCCTTCGCCTCCTCCGTCATCACTGACTGTCGCACCTCCCCCTCTGTCTGACTACCTTCGTGCTGCTCGTCCTCTTGTTCCTCGGGTCCTTGCCTCCCTCGTTACCGATCCGTCTGTTCCTGTCTTCAGTCTTGACGCTCTTGTCGCTGCTGTCGCTGAGTTTGCCTCTACTCACCGCCTTGTCTTCGCTACCGCTCTGGTCTCTGACCCTGCCTGTCCTCCGTCCGTCAAGGGTGCTCCTGCCCTCGGCAGTGACGTCTTGGAGGACCGACAGTATGACCTTGCTTTCCTGTCAGAGCCTGCTCCACATCTCTGTTTGATGCTACTAGTCCCTGAGGGTGACCCGGACGCCTTTGACATCCCGACCCCTCGCACCTATGCTGAGGCGACCTCGGGACCCGGGGCCTCTCAGTGGATAGATGCCATGGAGCAGGCGATGACATCTTGGAGGGCTACCCGCACCTACGTCGACGCAGTTCCCCCACTTGGGGTGAACGTAGTCGATGGCCGGTGGCTCTTCAAGGTGAAGCGCCGCCTTGGAGAGCCGCCTATGTTCAAGGCGCGCTACGTGGCTAGAGGCTTCAGTCAGCGAGAGGGGGTGGACTTCTTTCAGACCTTCGCCCCGACCCTGAAGATGACTACTCTTCGGGGGCTGCTACACATAGCAGCACTGCGTGACTACGAGCTTCACTCCCTCGACTTCTCCACTCCTTTCCTTCAGGGCAGCCTACACGAGCAGGTCTACCTGCGCCACCCTCATGGCTTCACCGGTACCTTCCCTCATGGGACCCAGTGGCTCCTGTGGCGCCCCGTCTACGGCATGCGACAGGCGCCCTATGAGTAGCACGACACGCTGCATGCTACGCTAGCTGACCTGCAGTTCTTTCCGTCCTCTGCTTTCCCTTCACTCTTCGTTCGTGCTGGCTAGACTCTGCTCTACATCCTGGTCTACGTAGATGACCTGGTCTTTACTACAGCAGACAGAGATGCACTGGCCTCCGTGAAGGCTGAACTGCTGAGGCGACACACCTGCACTGACCTGGAAGAGCTGCGCTGCTACCTTGGCCTGCAGATCTCCAGGGACAGAGCAGCGCGCACCATCACTCCTACACAGTCACACTTGGTGCGCTAGGTCCTTCAGAGGTTCGGTCTTCAGTTCTCCTCCGCACAGCCCACACCTCTGCCAGTAGACCATAGGCTCTCAACTCTAGTTCCGGAGGAGTCAACAGAGCCTAGTGGTCCTTACGCAGAGCTGGTGGGTTGCCTCATATACGTGATGACTTGCACTCGTCCAGATCTCACATACCCTCTCAGCATCCTAGCCCACTTTGTGGCCACAGGCAGACACAGACCACAGCACGGGTTGGTCGCTAAGAGGGTTTTGCGTTATCCTGCAAGTACATCGGGCATGGGGCTAGTGCTGGGAGGACACACGCCAGTGGTCACATAGACGCTTCGTGGGCAAACGACGCTGAGACCCTTCCGGTCTTCCCAGGGCTACTACTTTTGCCTTGGTTCTGGTGCCATCTCGTGCAGGTCCACTCGCTCCTCGTCTATTGCTCAGTCTAGCTACGAGGGTGAGATCTACGCCGGTGCCATGGTGGCACAGGAGCTCCGCCGGCTGACCTTCTTGCTTGCCGACTTAGGTGAGCGGCCTAGCTCTGCCCCGGTTCTGTACGCTGACAACATGGCCATGATCCTCCTGTGTCAGGAGCCTCGACTTGAGGGCAGAGCGAAGCACATCCAGCTGTGGTACTTCCTCCTGCGCGTGCTTCACCAGCGTCGCCAGGTTCGCGTAGTACACTTGGCCTCGGGTGCCAACACAGCTGATATCTTTACTAAGGCGCTTCTGCCTAGAGATCATCAGCGGCAGTGCTTGCAGTTAGGTCTAGTCCCTGTTGACTCTCACTTGCCAGGCCCTTGATTGTGTACTCTTTTCCATTTTTGCCTTGCAGACTGGCCTTGTGGCTTTTCCTTTAGTGGCTGGACTACTAGTGCCGCCCTTGTGTGCTTTGTCTTGCTTGTACTCTTGCTGATTGGTCTTCGGGCCCTGCCTCAGAGGTTGGACTAGTAGTGCCACCCCGAGCTGCGTGTTTCTTGCTCTGCACTACCCCTTATCTAGCTTAGGGGGTGTGTCAACTTATACATATATTGTTATGTATAAGTGATAGGCTAGATAGGGTATGTTCTTAGTGGGTACAATCCAAACGCTATATCTCCTCTGTTCTCCCTTGTTCGAATAATTCTTTCTAGTTTTAACCCTGGGTTGACCGTAGGATTGATGTGTTGACGGTCGAGATTAGTTGTATTCGGGACGAACGATCGCACGAGACTGGCGTGAAATGAATCGTGAATTTGCCAGTCGACAGGCAATTGCAGCAGGGCGGTGACTGGTGTCACCATGCAAATAATGCGGAATGGGCCACAAAATCTGGGTCGTAGTTTATTTCGAAGGGGAATTCCCAAATTTCTGGTGTCGAGCAGGACCAATTGCCCTGGGGCGATAGTTAAGTCTCGGCGTCATCGGTTAGCTTGCTGCTTAGCCCGTTGGTTGGCTTTGAGGATGGCATCGGCTGCTTTTTGCAGAGTTTGTTAGAGATTTTCGACGATCTGCTGGGATCTCGGTGCCGGATTTTCTATCGGTGGCGATAGATGGGTTGTCGGGTCTATCCTGTAATTGAGAAAAAACGGGGACTGAGTAGTCGGGGCTGATGGGGCGTTGTTGTACGCGAACTCGATCAAGGGAAGGGAATCTTCCCATTGGGTCGGGGTTGTGCACGTCTTGCGAATCAACTGCTCCATCGTCTGATTGGCGCGCTCAGTCTGGCCATTTGATTGCGGGTGGTATGCCGTGGACAAATGCAGACGTATGCCATACTGCGGCAAGGCTTTTCTCCAGAAGTTGGATGTGAACCGAGGGACGCGATCGCTGATGATTGCCGAAGGAATGTTGTGTAGCTGCACGATGTTCGCGAGGAACTGTTTCGCTATCTGATCGGCAGTGATTGTCGTCTTGCAGGCGGCGAAATGGGCCATCTTGATCAATTGGTCCACGATGACGAGAATCGCATCGTTACCGCTTGAACCAGCTGGCAGGCCAGTGACGAAATCCATCGTCACTTGTTGCCAGGGTCGGCTGGGTGGCTCGAGCGGCTGCAGCAATCCCGAAGGTCAAAGTTGTGAAGACTTCATGCGTTAACACGTGGCGCAGGAGGTGACATACTGCTGCACGTATGTCTGTAACTCAGGCCAGTAATAATTACGGCTCAGTAATTTGGCAGTTTTGTCGATGCCGTAGTGACGCGAGAAATTCGAGTCATGTGCCTCCTGTATCAGTAGCTCACGTAGGGTGCGGTAGGCGGGAACCCAAATCCGATTGGTACCGGATTTTAGGTGATAGGCCCCTTGCTTGACCGTCAGTTGGGGATGACTGTTAGTGGTGAAGAAGGGATCGGTACTATATCCGTGGGTGAATAGGCCAGTTAGCAGCAGATTAGTTTGGGTAATTAGGACTGCGGCGGTGTGGATTGAAGGGCGGGTCAGTGCGTCGGCGATGTTGCTAACCCCCCGTTTGTAGGTGACACTGTAGTGGAAGTTCGACTCGAGGTAATCGAGCCAGCGAATCTGTCGAGGATTTAGTGTCGGTTGGGCGCGGATGAACTGTAGCAATTTGTGGTCTGTTCGGACCGTCACGTCAGCGCCCGTCAGGTAGCAGCGCCAGACCTTGAAAGCATGCACGATGGCGAGTAACTCCTTGTCGTGGACAGGATAATTTCGCTCGGCCGGGTTCAGCTTTCGTGACTCGTAGGCGATGGGTTGAAGTACTTTGCCGAAGTCCTGTAACAGTACTGCGCCAACAGCTAGGTTGCTAGCGTCGGTGATGAGCTCGAACGGACGGTGAGGATCTGCAATTCGAAGAACCGGAGGTGTAGTTAGGAAAAGTTTGAGCTGGTCGAACGCAGCCTGCTGCTCTCCCCCCCACTCATAAAACGTGCCTTTCTTTAGGAGATCCGTAAAAGGGGAGGTTACCCCCGCCATGTTCGGGATGAACCGGCGAACGTAATTTACAAACCCCAGGAAACTTTGAAGTTCGCGGAGAGTAGCCGGCGGCTTCCAGTCTTGTATGGTCGCGATCTTCTTAGGGTCGATTTTAACACCATCGATGGAAATGACGTGGCCCAAAAACTCTAGTTCGTGTTTTAGAAACTTGCACTTAGAGCCCTTGGTGATGAGTGGGTTCTGCTGAAGGAGAGAGAAAACTGCTTCCAAATCCTTCAAAAGTTGTTCCCGGGTAGTGCTGTAGATCAAGATGTCGTCGAGGTACACGATGACGCATTTATCCAGCAGCGGCTGAAAAACTTCGTTCATGGTCAACTGGAACGTCGAAGGTGCGTTTGTTAAGCCAAATGGCATAACCGTGTATTCGTAACTCCCGTATCGGGTCCGAAACGCTGTCTTGTAGCGGTCTGCTTCGGTCACGCGGATTTGATGGTAAGCGCCTCGCACGTCAATTTTCGAAAAGAACTTGGCTCCACGAAGTTGGTCGATGAGTTTGTCGGCACGGGGGATTGGATAGCGGGACTTGATGGTAACCCGATTCAAGGCGCGGTAGTCGATGCACATGCGTAGACCGCCATCTTTCTTCGGGGTGAACAGGATCGGAGCTGCGAACGGGGAAGTGCTGGGGCGAACGAAACCTTTCTCGAGCAGGTAGTCCAGCTGGCATCGAAGTTCATCTAGCTCTAGCTGAGTCAGCCTCCACTGAGTCCGAATAGTCGGTTGCGCACCGGGCTCCAACTCGATTTTGTGGTCGTGGTCCCGCTCAGATGGCAGACCCGCCGGGAGGATGTCTGGAAAAATATCGGCGTGCTGGCGAATCAATGTTGCCAAATCGTTTGGAACAGCTGCGCAGAGTTTGTCGATGTCGGTTGGTGCATCGACAGCCGTGGATGCGATCCATCGGACAGTGTACATTTGCGCCCCGCGAATCATAGCTCGCTTGATGGTAACCGCGCTGACCGTCGATGTCGTGGAATCTTGACTGCTCCACTTCGGAAGTCATCACCACTCGCCACTCCATTTAATGCGACAGTCACTCGTCCGCCAGTCAATGCTCGGGTTGTATTCGCGCAGCCAATTGCGTCCCAGCAGCATGTCACAGCCGTCCAAAGTTGTCGCCAACATCTTTGTCGTGAAGCTGAAATTTTCGCCGCATGTTACTCGCTCGTGAGGTACTCGCTCCCGAATTGCCAGTGGTATGCCGTCGACCAATCTCGCGTCGATTTCCGGCATGCAGCGCTCCAGTTGCAATCGCAGTTATTTCGTCTTCATCACATCCATCAAACAGTGGCTCGCCCCACCATCAACAAATATTTTAATGCGGGTGTCGCCAACTCTCCCTTCAACCAGCACAAGGTGATCAACCGGTTCACCCCCCTTATTCAGCCAGGAATGGTCGATAGCCCGAATTGACACTATAACATGGTGGGGGTGGTGGCGTTTGGGCGACGCAATCAAGTCAGTAGGTGGCCCATCTGCTACTGACGATCTCCATTTCCCGACTGCTTCTTGTCGTTAGGTAAGTTCTTCTTCAGCTGCGGGCAGTCCCTCACTATGTGACCCAGCTGGTTGCAGTGGAAGCAGTTCCCCGAAAATACTCGGGCTGCAAACACGTCCACGACGTTGATTGATGCGTGTTAGGGCTGGCCTCGAAAGCGATTTCCTTCCCGGAAACCCGCTCTCGTGAGTCCACGTCGTGCATCCAGCGCGTCTGCGATTCGAACGATCTCGTTGAAAGTCGTCGGGGCTCGCAGGATGATCTCTTGCTGAATCTCCGGCTTGAGTTCACCCACGTAGCGATCAATTTTCTCGTCCTCGCTGATCCCTTTGATTTGGTCGCAGATTGCCAGAAACGATGCCGTGTATTCTTGGACAGAGCCCAACTATCTCCACATCCGAAGCTTTGTGCGAGCATTTTTGCGCATGGATATGTGCTCGAATCTGCCCTTCAACGCTTCACCCCACGCTTTCCACGTGCGGATCGTGGCCGATCCAAAGATAGGTTCTGCCTTCGCCGTTGATGAACTCATCTCCCCATCTGCCGCCCGTTGATTCCTTGCCGGAGCTCCTCCTTCGTCGAGATGCATGCGCCACCAGTCGAGTGCCGGTCCCCTCAGCAACGACACAGCCAAGTTGACACGTGAAGCATTGTCATTAATACTTGCTGTCGTGGAGAAGATTTCCATGGCGAACAGCCACCCGCTCACTGTAGTTGTCCTGTCGGTCGGGTTGAACGGTGGGGGCATCGGACGCTTGATTTTAATGGCCGCCCGCGGCACGCTGTGGACTTCTTCAACTGCTTCAGGTGTCACGGACGCCCTCGCTTTGCTCGTAGCATCTTCGTCTCGGGTAACAGGCCGCCCTTGACGCGTTTCACCCCGCGTCTGGCAAAGCGACGAGTTTTCGTTGCGCAGCGTCTGAACTTCGCTTCCCAGCGACTCGAACTTGTCCGCGAGTTGTTGAAGCTGGGCCTGCAGTGTCATCACTGTAGCCACCCTGGCTTGCAACTCGTCAAACTCCTCGAGTCACGTTCCTAACATTACGACGGGCAGAGGTTTCCGGCGTGCTAGTCATGCTTGAAATTTTACCTGACAGATCTGAGGGTGCACATGCTTTAGTTGGAGGAGCTTTAACGAGCTTGCCTACCAACCGCTGGCCAACCCTCTATTCTGTCGGGTCCTCTCCCGATATAATCGGACTACTCTGCGGAAGACTAAGCGGGCAGGAACGGGGCTCTGATGTTGAGTGACCCGCTGGGGTTGCCCTTGAGATCCTCGGGAAAGGGCCACAGGTGCAGAGCCTGGGGGGCTATGGGCGCACTAACCCGCTATTAACAAGCCCTTTTAACCCAGTGGTTAGTGGCTGGGTTTCTGACATGGTACATCAGAGCCAAAGGTCTTGGGTTCATCTCCCAGTGCCAGCGCTGCAGAGGCGCTCGTGTCTTCCACCTATCCCAGCGGGGGGGGGGGTGTTGAGTGACCCGCTGGGGTTGCCCTTGAGATCCTCGGGAAAGGGCCACAGGTGCAGAGCCTGGGGGGCTATGGGCGCACTAACCCGCTATTAACAAGCCCTTTTAACCCAGTGGTTAGTGGCTGGGTTTCTGACATCTGATACCAGGTGTTATGAATTAATCAGAGTACTATCAGGTAGTGTAATAAAGGAGTCGTGATTCCAGAGTGTCGATACAAATGAGGGCCTAGGCATTGATAGGCACGAATAGAGCTAGCCGAGAACCACGCGAACAGGTTGGGGCGATTCGGTTGGCGAAAGCCACGGAAGCGCTGCGCGTCAAGGTTTGGGACCGAAGAAGTTGGCCGAGCCTGGACTTCCGAGAGTCGAGGGCGTACGCGCTGTAGTCGAGCCCAGTAAGGAAAAGGGAATTTCCTTACACATGGGCTCCATTACGTCGTGTCTCTAGTAAAACACTCCATCGTTCACCCATGCTTATGGGTCAAAGTTTCTAGTTCCACATGGCAGCATAGCTCCAAACTCATTACAACTGAACAATTGAGAACAGCTAGCACACAAGATATCATTCTCATGAATTGAAGTACCATTCAGCTACGACGTCACGCAAAACCTTGCCATTCTCTTTCATGCCAACCCACGAACTATCCACCATGATTCCATGCTTGCTAGACCAAGCAAGGAAAGCCTTCAGCTTCTTATCCTCCATAGCACCAACAACCGTCCACATTTTCTGCGCATAAGCAAGCACCGCCCGTGTAGCTGAGAGCGTGCACTTTTTATTCGAGTTTTTCCAAGCAAGCTCGTTAGGTGGCGTGCTTGGAATCGACCGCCTAAGGCTAGGCATAGCCATTATTTCACTTAGACATTGGTAAGTGAAGGTGTTGTTACTCTCCGGTAACTGGTTACCAAGATTCAGGGCCTTGCCGTCGAACAGAGAGTTGACGACGAAGAATGACGATCGCACGAATGGGAGGGAGTGTTCTGGGAAGAAGCACTTCCACTTCTTGGTTTGATTGGTGGCTGTTGGAACAAATTGGGAGAATGCATGGGGTGGGATGGGATGTAGAAGGGTTGATGATGAAGGGTGATCAAAGGGAATGAGAGGGAGAGCTCTGGGAAGAAACAGCACCACCTTTTGATTTCGTTCTTGGCTGTCAGGACAGAGGGAGTGTGTGCTGGACGAATTTTGCCCTGGTAAGTTGGCCAGGAATGGAAGATAAAGGCAAAAAGGATGAAAGCATGGCAATACTGGATGGGAAACTGTCGGCATAAGAGTGAATTGCGAAATAATATAAGGAGAGGCACTCAATCCCATATGCACGTGCCAGAGAAAACATTGGCACCAGCTCACTGCTGCCTGTCAGCCAACTCACATGCCACGTCCTCACCCACTCGTGACTTCCAGCCACTTCAGCACGTTTTCACTCACCTCTGCAGCATCGAGGGTTGCCAACGAAATCATGCAGCTCTGCCAGCAGCTGGATCCTTTTGCCACGTCAGCAACCCAGCACACTCACCTCTGCCACGTCAGCAATTCACCTCACTCACCTCTGCTGCATCGGGGGTTGCCGACAAAATCATGCAGCCCTGCCAGCAGCTGGATCCTCTTGCGAAACGCCGACCGCTTGTTCATGTCCAACGCATCTGCACAGGGGCCAGAGATTCAAACAGAGTCAACCAGAGTCAAGCAGAGCTTGCTCACGCCCAACATGTCTGTTTAAAGGCCACAGACTCAGCCAACAGACATTTTCCAGGGTCAAACAGAGTAAAAAGAGGGAATCAACTCACCATCCATGAGGCGCTTGGTGGTTGAAGGGAGGTGGGGGGATGGTGGGGAGGGGAGAGGGGGGAAGGGGGGATCAACTCACCAAGAAAGAAGCCCGAGTCCATGAGGCACTTCGTGGTTTTGGCGGAGGGCACGAGGGCGGGCAGCTGGTCGCACAGAGTGACCACCGCCTCAGCGCCCGCCGACACCCCCGACAACAGCACCTGGGAGGCGGTTTTCAGCCCCTTGTAGTCTGTCACGTCTTCACAGATTTACAATCGGCCAATAGAGAATTTTGGGATATATTGGATAAGGTACGATTAGGGTCTGCATAATAATGCTGGTTAAAGTGCTTCATGCGTTGTTTATGGAAACTAAAGAGACACTTGAGAAAGCATGAGGGTCTTGTTGATTTGGAATTCTGATATGAATGTAACATTCTTGACAGCATCCGTGTTTACCGAACACGAGAGTGTAGTAACCCACCTGTGAGAACAGCTTTGATGATTTTCCAACCGTCCAGATACACGCCTTCAGTTTCGCTCACATTCTTGAACCCCGCGCGGCCTGCGAATCCCCCGCCGTCGCAGTAAATCGGGACCACGAGATTCCAATTGTAGAAGCGAGGATTGGTGACGGGATTTATGCTCAGAATTCCCATGTAACCCCAATTCGCCTGCAGGTGCAAAAGTAACGTGCGTAAGAAATAACATGTGCGTGTCCTCCTAACGGACGGAGGGAGGTAGGGTGGAACGAAGTGTGGAAATAGCTCGTCTTTCAGATTTTGCGTGTAAAACTTGAGCATGAGGAACGTGGAGGGGAACGGGCGGGGATTTGGAACATGATGGAAAATTAGACATGAACTTCAGTAAGCCAATGGCTGAGTTCTACAGGCATTTGACGTTGACGTCGACGTCGACATTGAGAAGCTCCGCACGCGACTTCGAGAGCACTGGTTACCACTCAAACCAGGTGCACTTTCCAAACCTCGCTTGGAAGCCACGCGGCCAAATTGTGGAAAGCGCAAGCGGAGAGAGGAGAGATTTTCAAATTTGCGCAACAAAAACCTGCTGCCCCAGGGCAGCAGGTCGAAAGAGTGGTGCTGTTAGAAGTCATACGACTCTCTTTGGTGATGGGTTTTTTTAGCTGCGGTTGTTTCGCAGGGCAGGCCCAAGTTCGAGAGGTGGGGTAAAGTGGTGGCACTGGTTTTTTTGGGGTGTGGAGGCCTAGTACACCCTTGCGGCTGATGTAACGCCACACGCAAGGTGAACTCCGCGATTGATCGAACGTCAGCATTGTATCAAGTTTGCGTCAGATTTGCCAGGGAGCGAAGCGGGGGGGGGTGTTTCCCTGACGTAGATGTCATCTGTACGGGACCATACTCTTTCATCACTCACGAATTTCCACGGGTTCTGGTTTTGCAAATCCGCGTTAGAAGACCCGAGCCACGTCAGGCTGCGTTCCTTGCACTTCTCCAGCGTGTAGCACCACCCGCCGTACTGCAAGTGTACGTGCCACGAGCTGCTGCCGCTGCCGAAGCCCGGGCGGAAAAAGTACCCTGGGGGACTGAGGATGGCGAAAGGGCGGAAAAAAGGCACGGGGAAGGAGACACGGGGAATGGGTGGCGTATCGAGGGGGCGGGGCCGAAGAAAGGTGAGGGACAGAGAGAGGCGGAGAAGCAACCTTGCGGACAGTGAAGGGCGCGGATGGACTCGATAATCGGGAGGACGGGGGGAATTAAGCCGGGGATTGGCGGAGCGAGGGATAGGGAGGCGGAAAAAGTACCCCGGCGGACAGTGAGGGGCGCGGAAGGACTTAATGATCGAATGGGACGGTTGCGGGTGCTTGTGCCAAGAAAACATCCCCCGAAGAGAACATCCCCCCCCCACCCTGTCCAGCTCATGACGTTTTCGCGATTTACAAGCTACGAAGTTACCTGCCGTCCAGGCATTTCGCGCCGTATCAGTTGTTGGGCCGACGCGAAGGCCTTTAGCTGATGCCCCGATCCTCACGCCTATAAACACCACAGAGGCCATTCACAAGCACCAAGTTGCTTACCTGCCGTCCAGGCATTTCGCGCCGTATCAGTTGTTGGGCCGACGCAAAGGCCTTTAGCTGATGCCCCGATCCTCACGCCTATAAACACCACAGAGGCCATTCACAAGCACCAAGTTGCTTACCTGCCGTCCAGGCATTTCGCGCCGTATCGGTTGTTGGGCAGTAGCGTCAGCGTCAGTCTGGTTCCGGCGGCAACGACAGGTCCCGGGATGGATTCCGTCGGCTTTTTCTTCCCCTTCTTACGAGCCGCGTCAGCGCCGAGGCTCGCTGCGCTTAGACATACCACAGTCAACAAGAGCAGTGATCTAATTCTTCTAAAAGGTCGCGACACTGGCAGTCGTCTTGATATCATGTCGACTGTCTTTTTCCTTCCGTCGAAGTATTGACTGGAAAAAAAACAATGTTCTTAAGATTCTGGTTGGGCGATGGTCTGTCCCATCAACTGAAAGAGAGGACTACGCTAGATCGCCTCGTACGGTCACGAGTATTTGGTCATTCCAGGCTTGGACACATCTTACAGTCCTCGGCGTTTCGGCATCCACTTGACGACCGCAGGCGACTTAATAAAATCTCGTAAGACGCTAAGCGACAGGAGATGCTACGCGACTGGCGATGCCAAGCGGCTGGTGATTATAAGCGGCTGGCGTCGCTAAGCGACTGGCTGTGCCAAGCGACCGGCGATAATTAGCGGCTGGCGACGCTAAGCGACCGGCAATGCTTAGCGACTGGCGATGTCAAGCGACCGGCGATGTTTAGCGATCGGCGAAGATAAGCGATGGCGATGATAAGCGGCTGCGCAGTGTCTAAGAGAGGTCTTAGTCGAAGACTGGCTAGAAGCCACTGGCTACGCTAACCATGACAAGGGGCAGCTGAGAAGGACTGAGAAGAGGTATGCATGCATTGCATGGCCATCTACTAGGTTGGAATTGCTCCATGGCTCACGTCGTAACGGGGCTCACGTCACGTACTAGCACCAGGCTGAAGAGACGGAAATCGGGGCGTATGCAGAGAACTGTTACCGTACAAGTACCCGAGCAATAGCGAGCTTGCAACTGAAGCGCAGCACCCCTAACCTAACCAATCCCCTTCTCAGTGCTTGGTTTGGGGGACTACAGGGAGGTCAGCACAGTGCGCCGCGTCTGCCTACCACGTTTCCAGACTGCCTGCCCAGCATGTGTGGGGTCGATATGTTCGAGTCAAGCCATGCTCTTCGGTGTGTGTGCCAATATTGGTCGAGGCAGGTCAATCGAGTAGTAAGGAGAGGAGACGGATGGGGAGTCTGGATCGAGTCACAGGGTGGGAGGGATGGGAGGGGAAGGGGTGGGGAGGGAGATGTTTCCAAATTTCAAGAGGGCAAAAATGTCGGTCCGCCCCGCGAGAATCTCATTGCTGGTGCAAAGCACGTCCGCCGCGCCGCATTGCACTTCGGAAATTTTGGGAACGGCTGCTATGGGATCGAGAACAGTTGCTGCGGGGCAGCAGCGGGAGGAGGGGTGGAAGAAAAATAATGTAGGCTTTTGTTACAAACTAAACGCTGCTACCCATCCCGTAAATCTCACAGAATGGGTGTAGATGAGTTGACAGCTTTTGTTGCGCTTGGTACGGAAACTACCCATGGTTATATTTTTTCTAACGTTGTGATCTTGATGTTTTTACCTGATTTAGAATTGCAAACACTTGTCACATGAGTTAAATAGCATGGAGCGTGCGTGCATTCCAAATGACAACTAAGAGTCATTAAGTCACCAGTCCTAACTGTCAAACATGTGTATGTGTTATGTTTGTATAGACTGTATAGGGTCGCCTCTTAGAGGGTACAATTCATAGGTATATCTGTCTGTACACTCTCACTAGCTATTATTCAATTTTCAATTTGATATGGTATCACGCGTAGATAGGATCCCCCCCACCTACCGCTTCCGCTCACCCAGTCGCGACCCCCCCCTAGCCCCGTCGCGCCCCTCACTGGGCCCTATCGCGCCCCTCTCAGGCCCCCTAGCGCCCCTCCTGGGCCCCGTCGCGCTCCTCCCAGGCCCCGTCGCGCCCCTCCTAGGGCTTCGTAGCGCCCCTCCTGGGCCTCGTCGCGCCCCTCCTGGGCTTCGTAGCGCCCCTCCTGGGCCCCGTAGCACCCCTCCCAGGCCCCGTCGCGCCCCTCCCAGGCCCCGTCGCGCCCCTCCCAGGCCCCCTAGCGCCCCTCCTGGGCCCCGTCGCGCTCCTCCCAGGCCCCGTACCGCCCCTCCTGGGCCCCGTAGCGCCCCTCCTGGGCCCCGTCGCGCCCCTCCTGGGCCCCGTAGCGCCCCTCCTGGGCCTCGTCGCGCTCCTCCCAGGCCCCGTCGCGCCCCTCCTGGGCTCCGTAGCGCCCCTACTGGGCCCCGTCGCGCCCCTCCTGGGCCCCGTAGCGCCCCTCCTGGGCCCCGTCGCGCCCTCCCTGGGCCCTGTAGCGCCCCTCCCAGGCCCCGTCACGCCCCTCCTAGGCCCCTTAGCGCCCCTCCTGGGCCTCGTCGCGCCCCTCCTGGGCTTCGTAGCGCCCCTCCTGGGCCCCTGTAGCGCCTCTCCTGGGCCCCCCCGTCGTACCCCTCCTGGGCCCCGTAGCGCCCCTCCTGGGCCGCGTAGTACCCCCACACGGCCCGTCGCCCCTGCCCGACCCCGTCGCAGCCGCCCGGCCCGTCGCGCCCGCCCGCGCCGTCGCACCCGCCCGGCCCCGTCGCGCCCGACCGGCCCCGTCGCAGCCGCCTGGCCCCGTCCACCCTGCCCGGCCCGCGTCACAGCCGCCCGGCCCCGTCGCGCCCGCCCGGCGCCGTCGCATCCGCCCGGCCCCGTCGCGCCCCCCGGCCCCGTCGCAGCCGCCTGGCCCCGTCGCACCCTGCCCGGCCCCGTCGCAGCCGCCCGGCCCCGTCGCACTCGCCCGGCCCCGTCGCACCCTGCCCGGCCCCGTCACAGCCGCCCGGCCCCGTCGCACCTGCCCGGCACCCGTCCCGCTCGGCTGGCCCCGTCGCACCGGCCCGGCCCTGCCGCACTCGCCCGGCCCCGTCGCCCCAGCCCGGCCCCGTCGCCCCGTCCCGGCCCTGTCGCACCAGCCCGGCCCCGTCGCGCCTGCCCCGGCCCCGTCCTCCTCACTGGTACGGTTCCCCCCCCACCCCGCCCTGCTCTGTGCCGCCTCGCATCACACTGTACTGCCTGGCACCGCACTACACCGCACTGCACCGCAGTGTACCGCACTGCACCGCACTGCACCGCACTGCACCGCACTGCACCGCATTGCATCGCACTGCACCGCACTGTACCGCACTGCACCGCACTCCACCTAGCTGCACTGCCCTGCACCGCACTGGACTGTTCCTGATGGCGGCGGAGCTTCGCTTCGACGCTGAAGGTCAGCCCCTAGAGTTCGAGGCGTGGCTTGCCGACCTCCGCCGCCAACTCACTGGCCAGCGGCAGGATGGTGAACCGCTTTCTGCACATCTTGACGGTACGCTCCCCTGCCCAGACCCCCCTGCTATTCTGCCCGCTGACCCCACACCCACTGAGCGTGAGTCTACTGCTGCCACTGCCCGTGCGCGCTCTGTCTGGCTTTCTCGCGATGCTGTCGCCCAGCTTGCCATTAGCAACGCCCTCCCCCCGTCCGAGCGTCCTCGCTTTAGGTCCCTCACTACTGCTCAGGCATACTTAGATGCTGTCATCAAGCGCTATTCCACCCCTCCGGCTGCCTCGGTGGGTCGCCTGATCCTCCCGATGCTCTTTTTTGACCTTGCCTCTTTCCCCACTGTCTCTGACCTCGCTGCCCACCTGCGCTCGATAGAGGAGACCTGGCGCGCCGCCTGCACTGACGCACAGCTTAGAGCCCACCAGCCGCCCATTACCTCTACCCTCTACCTGCTTGCCACCCGCCTCCCTGACCGCCTTGCTGTCGCCCGCGACCGCTTCCTTAGCCTTCACCCCGCAGACCTCACCCTCACTGACTTTGTAGACACCCTGACTGTGATAGAGACCCGTCACCGCTCCATCGCCCAGGCGAGCGGTGTCGTGCCTGTCCCTATCTTTCAGGGTTGTGCCCCCGCCCAGTGTACCTTCTCCGACGGCTCTGTCGCAGTGGCTGAGACTGCTGCTGCTGCGCAGTTTCGTTCGGGGAAGGGCCGCCGCCCCAAGGTTGGGCGCGGCGGCGGAGGAGGTGGGGGTGTGGGAGGGGGTAGTGGTGGGGTCGGGTCGTCTGGTGCTGGAGCGGACGAGGGGACCCTGCCCAGTTCAGCTGAGCCGCCGCCCCTGCAGTTGCCGCAGCCGCAGCAGCCGCCGCAGTCGCAGCCTTCGCAGCAGCCGCAGCAGCCGTCGCAGACGCGGCAGACGAGTGTCCTCCCGCTCGGGTGGCCCGGCGCTGGCGGTGGTCGGGCGCGTGGTGGTGTGTCGAGTGGTAGCTCTGGCGGCGGGCGCTGTCAGTACCAGATCCAGACCGGTCCTCGCCGCGGCTTCGTTTGCGGTAGGCTCGGTCACTCCACTCCCCGCTGTTTTCGTCGCCTGGACGACCTCTTTCGTCAGCGCTTCGGCCCGTTGCCAGACCTCCCGGACTGGCACAGTTTGCTTAGTCGTAAGATTCAGATCTTTGATATGGACATGGATGCCATTGTTTCTGCTCTGCATGTGATGTATGCTGATGACTCTAGTGTGCTTCCAGCTTATTACTCACTGTTGCCTAGTGTAGGTGTGCCTAGCTTAGCCTCCCCTGCTGCGTCAGGTGTAGGAACTCCTGCTTTGTGTAGTCTTGGTGCTTCCGCCGTCGTTCCGTCGCCAGACGCCTCTGCTTCGCTTTCCTTCACCTTGGACTCTGGCGCTTCTCGGTGTTTCTTCCGCGACTCCACCACACTGACGCCGCTTCCCGTCCCTGCTGCCGTTTCTCTCGCTGACCCCTCTGGCGGTCCGGTCGTCGCCCGCAGTTCCACCACCCTTCCCTGTCCGGCGGTTCCTTCGGGCTCTCTTACAGGTCTGCATATCCCTTCGTTCTCCAGGAACCTAGTTGGTGTCGGCTGCCTCCAGGACCTTGGCGTCACCACTACGTTCCCTGGTCACGAGCGGTATGCTGTCTGTACCGAGGCCGCCACTGGTGCCCCCCTGTCCACGTTCCCCCGGGACCCGGTGTCCGGCCTGTTCACTCTGGACACCGTGACCCCCCCGGCTGGAGCGCTCACCCAGGTTGCTGCTGCCTGCTCTTGTCGGTCTCTCACTCACCCGACCCCCCTTTGGCACCACCGCCTAGGTCACCCTGCGCTCCCGCGTCTGCGTCACATGTCCCAGCACGGTCTTGTCCTTGGTCTCCCAGGTTCTCTCCCTGCGTTTCCCTCCTCCCCAGCCCCACCTTGCACGCCTTGCGTTGAGGGTCGGCTTCGCCGTGCCCCTCACTCCTCCTCGTTTCCCCCTACCGCCGCGCCATTGCAGACACTGCACCTGGACGTCTGGGGCCCCGCCCCGGTCCCTGGGCCGCGTCGAGAGCGCTACTTCCTTGTGCTTGTCGACGACTTCACTCGTTACACCACAGTCTTTCTCCTGGAGCGCAAGGCCGACGTGCCTGGCGCCCTCATCCCCTGGCTTGTCTCTGCGCGTGTCCACCGCGGTCTCCCTGTCTTGCGTCTTCACTCCGACCGTGGTGGCGAGTTTGCCTCAAGTGTCCTTGGTCGCTTTTGTCGTGCGGAGGGCATCACCCAGACGTTCACCCTACCGGACTCCCCACAGCAGAATGGGGTCGCTGAGCGACGCATCGGTTTGGTCATGGAGGTGGCTCGCACCTCCATGATCCATGCCGGTGCACCCCATTTTCTGTGGCCGTTCGCTGTGCGCTACGCTTCTCACCAGCTTAACTTGTGGCCGCACCCTCAGCAGCCGCAGGTTTCGCCCACCCGTCTTTGGACCGGGTCTCCTGGTGACGCGTCTGCGTTCCACGTCTGGACCATCATTCAATTATTCTGATAACACCCCCTAGACTGCATAGGGGAATACCCTAAACAAGCAGCTCAGGGCGGCACTACTAGTCCAACCTCTGAGGCAAGGGTCTGAGCGACCGGTCAGAAGGAGTACAGACAAGGCAAGCACAAGAGCAGGGCGGCACTACTAGTCCAGCCACTGGGAGAGGACACAAGTCCAGTCTGAGTATACATATAAAGGACAGTACAAAG